TGCATGAACAATTGAAAAAAAATTACAAAAAAAAAAACAAAAAAAAAAAAACGAAAACAAAAACAACTCGAATGAAATGAGTGAAGAAGAATAGTGTAGTGTGAAATAAATAGATGAGAGTTTATATAGTTTTGATAAGTATATATAGTAATTAGGAAACTTTTAGAATTCACATTTCAAATGACATGATTATAGGTAGAAAAAGAAAAATAAAAAGGAAGAAATCAAATCAATTAAATTCGGCTGATTTGATTTCAAAATATTAAACAATACTTATGGTTATTGAATATTTTTCTTAAACTAACAATATCAATTAAATCTAATCATCTTAAATAGGTAAGGAATCAAATTACATATCATAAAACGCATATCCTAATTTTAGAAATTTTTAAAATACATAAAACATAAACACGATTTTTCGGTTTTTTGTCTTTTTTTTTGTATTTTAATAATAAAATTATAAATTTCATAATATATTATTAATATGTTTATTTGAAATCAAACTTTAATGCATTAATAAAATACATTAATGTAAAATTATAAAATTATATTAATGAAATTTAAATGATTAATTAATGGAATAGTACACAATCGGATGATATCATTCGTAAAGAGTATTAATTCTGCATTAATTTAAAGGGGCATGCTAAATCCCACACTAAAATTTACTAAATCTCACACATAAATTAAAAAAGAAAAGAAAATCTCTCTCTACTTATATTCTCTCTAACTTTTTTCTATGATGATTTTTTCCAAGTCACTCAAAATTCGTTAATCTTTCACGTGAATAATCATAAATAATGAGTTTAGATTTATTTAGTATTTTTCAATGCCTTTAATTATTTAAACTCATATCAATTAAAAAAAAATTCTCAAATTCCAACTTTATTTTAGTTTGAACACATGAAGATGTTTCTCAAATTCGAACTTGGAATGATATGGATGTTTTTAGTGTTGTGATTTTGTGAAAAAATTAGGGAAAAATAAGAAGGGTGGGGAAGGAGAAAATAAGATTTTGGAGAGATAATTTTTTTCAATTGTGTGTATGTTTGGTAAAATTGGTGTGGGATTTAGCATATGAGTAATTTAAATTGATATAATTTTTGAATTTATCTATATTAATTTAAATATAAAAATATGGAAAAATTATTAATACTACATTTACCTATCTATGTTTTTTTCTAAAAATTATTGGTTTTCTATAATATTAATTTATTCCCTATCTACGCTTTCTTTTTTTTTTTTTTTAACTTGGATTGTGTATCTTAGTTTCATATATAATATATATATATAATAGCAAAAATTCAAATTATTATAAATAAAAAACAGAAAAATGGCAATATGGCATCGAACAATATAATATTGATCTACCGGAAAAGAATTGGTATGTATTGATTTTAAATGAATATCGTTCCTATGAATGTTGACTAATATATTTTATAAATTTTTATATTCAAATTTTTGGCCATAAATATTTATAAAGTTTTCATTTTAATTTATTGTGTGTGTGTATATATCATAAATAAATCCCCAAAAAATGGTATGTGTTGATTTTAAACGAATCTCATTTTACATGAATAAATATTTCCTAAATGCTTGTAGCAAAATTTCAAGTAATAAATATGATTTTTTTTTTAATTTATTAAATATATCTAAATTAAGATTTGGCAAAATTTTGTAATGTAGAAATATACTACTATATTTTAATGTATGCATAAGTATACTATTATATTTTAATATCATATTCGAGTACATATATATATTTGGGCGCGACATAAATCACTAACCAATATACACAAATTATCAATTTTATTATAATTACCAAGCAAGACTAAAACAGAAAATAAATTAAAATGTCTCAACACTGTTAAGCTCCCAACATTTAAAAAATGAAAAAAATAAAATAAAAAAATTCAATCAAACAAAAAAAACCTATTTAGGGATTAAATCTTCTTCTGGACTTGCACCATACACTTCTGTGACGTTTTTATTGGGATAAACAAAAATTGATTAGTTTTCTTTACAAAATGGTTTCCAACACTTTTTGTTTTCCATCATTGTACTTTTGTGATTCTTCCTCGAATAAATCCCAAAGAAACTTTTATCTTTTTGGCCAATGTATCAAACAACATCTGCAAATTGCTTGGATATATGGTACACGAAAATTGATCAATGAACAATATATAATCACATATTTGTTATAGAAAATATAATAGAATAAAAATATGAATATAAATAACCTCTGATTTCTGAAATTTCAAGATGTAGTCACATTTTCTACAAATTCATAGACCTTTTCCGTATCCGATATTAGTTGCTTATAATACATGACTTAGCAGCGTCCATAACTATAAATTATTGACAAACAAAAAACAATAGTTAGAGATATCATGTATACATATGTAAAAGACAGAACAAAAAAAAATTTAATATAAAATTAATTATGATGAAGTAACTATCATGTGCATAGAAACAAATGAATCATAATCATTTATTTTGTCGGAAAAAAAAAATTCGGAAAAAAGTGTACAACAATATGAATTTCAATATAATTATCAGGAAAAAAAAAAGTGAAAAACTAAAAAAAAGAAACATAGAAAAAGAAACACGGAAATAATTAATTAACATTAAAACAAAGATTTTGAAGATTGGCATTTTGAATTCGAATTTTAAAATAAATTAAATACATATTTAAATAAGGAAAACCCAAAACCAATATAATTAATAGTATGCGTCAATCTTGCTATTTTATAATCATATATATATATATTAATATCTACATGTAATTTACCCTATAAGTTTTTTTACATAGGACTTATATATCTAATTCATATATTCAAAATTCATAGGAATATATGTAATATCCTTCATTGAAGTACAATTTTCAAAATTTTCACAAAATCTATAATAGTTGTTACAATTTGTCTATTACAGTTTGGTTACATTGACGCATATTACACATCTTATGTATATCCTGAAAAACAACAGAAATAGAAAAAAAAATAACAACCATTAACAAAAACGATATAAACATCAAGAATACATCAAAAAAGAACATAACAACAAAATAAAATTTAAATGAAACATATAGAATGAATAAGAATTAAAAAAAATAGCGAATTACAACTAAATAATAATAACGAAATAAAATCAGAATGTTTACATACCACAATATATTACTTAAGAGAAATAATAAGACATAATACAATGAATAATCAAAAAGCAGAAAAGGAAGAGGAAATGGAAAAAAATTAATAATATGAAAAAGTAATATCAAGAAAACTAACCAATTAACAATTGTACCAAGAGCAAATACACATTCAAATGAAAAATGAATATGATCCGTCAATGTGAAAATGAGTGAAAACTATTGAGTATTTATAGGGTTTAGAATGTGGTTTAAGAAGATTTTTTAGACATTAATGAATTAGGAAAGTATATATTATTTTGATATTAATATAAATTTGTAATCATTGTGCAAGAAATCCGGATTGATTTAGTACAAATAAATCAATTTGTTTCAAAGATTTCCATGATTTGTTATAATTAATCATTTATTGAGATAATTAATAAAAGTGCCGATTTTTTATTTTTTTTGAAATAAAAGCGCCGATTATTTATAAGCTAAATTAAATGTTGAAATGAACTACACTAAATCCACCAGCCGGATTTGGTGGGGATTTGGTGGAAATGAATACTTATAATTTTAAAATCCGGATTAATTATATGAAAAATGCTTGAATATTGTATATATGGTATAAATAGTAAAATAAGTTATATTAGGATATAAGATATTTAATAATTCATTGAATTGAATTGAATTTAAATCGACACATGTGCAATGAGTAGGATGTCTACGTGGATGCCTACATGGATGCCAAATGTCGTAATTCTAGGACATGAGGGTTTCAATTTATATATTATATAGATTATTCTAAAGAATTTGGTATTTTACCGAAAAATGGTGCTTAAAATGAATTACAAAATAAATCAACATAATTCATCTTCAAAAATTACGAAAATACTATCTCACATAGTTAGACGTGCATGCTGCCACCCATGATTAAAAAAATTTGGCAGTCAACGTCGGTCTCCAGGCACCGTTGACTTTTTTTTCCTTAAAAGAAAAACTATGATGAACATTTTCATGCCCTGTAAAAATTGTAATATTACTGCGGTTGACATGTAATATTACTGTGGTTGACAGTATTATTAATGATATTACTATCTAGCACAGTAATACACAACAAAATCACCATTGTACATAATAAATAGGGTTAATAGCATTTTACCACCTGTTTTTGCCTATTTTTGCGCTTTGCCCCAGTAACTAAATAAAGTTGCACGGGCAGACCCAAACCCGTTTTTTTGACGCACATAACGCACTCAAACTCGATATCACATCGTACAACTAATGTCAAGTACACATTTTGGGCATTATCTGAAGAAAGGTATCTGTCATGAAAAGAACATTTTTGGCAATTTCTAGGACCACCAGTAAGATAGATCAATTTGTTTATTCGTGGAACACTTGGTGACGAGCTACCTTAAATTCATTAATACTTATTATATGTTGTAAGTATTATTTAAATAAAATAACACAAAAAACGAGGCAAAAATAATAAAAAGAAAATTACTTTGAAAAGTTAACCGCACACGTGCATCGCACGTACACCTTTCTAGTAATATGAAAAGTGAGAAAGAAACTTTACTCTCTAAGTCAAGGTCTTCCTTGATTTAGATTTGTTCGACGATGAATCGAGCATTGAATTTTTTTTGGCAAACTTCCAAAACAGTAATATTAATGCGTAGACTTGGAATAATCATATACATTGTGCATACGATACTTTGAGCATTTATACACATAAGCAAAATCAAGAAACAACAAGCATTCACCATTCAAGAAACAATGGCAAAATCCATCATTATCTTTTCTTTCTTTATCTTCTATTCTCTTGCCTTATACAGTCCAGTAACATGCTTTATAAGTAACAAAACAGATTTATTTTCATTGCTGGCTTTGAAGGAAGCCATAAATGTCGATCCAAACGGAGCTTTAATCTCATGGAATCGAAATACAAACTTTTGCACGTGGAACGGAGTCACATGCGGTCGAAGGCACCCAAATAGAGTTATCGCCATAAAGCTGGATTCTCAAGGCTTGATTGGATCACTCTCACCTCACATAGGTAATCTCTCATTCCTTAGAGAAATCAATCTCCAAAACAATAGTTTCAACGGCCGAATTCCGCAGGAAATCGGCCTTTTAAGACGACTTAAGTTTATAGAATTTAGCAACAATTCTTTCACGGGAAGAATAATGCCCGAAAATATTACCCAATGGAGAAATCTGGTTTATCTTAACTTGATCGACAACAATCTCTCCGGGGCCATACCTTCGGAGCTCCATTTTTTGGAGAAACTAGAAGCTCTAGGCTTGGGTAAGAACAAAATTTCAGGAGATATCCCTCAATATATAGGAAACCTAACATCTATGATACAACTTTCTCTAAGGTCTTGCGACTTGAATGGAGAAATTCCCGAATCCTTGGCCCAACTTCAGAAACTAAGACGTCTTAATTTGGGTGAAAACAATCTCACAGGCGCCATTCCTCCAAGTGTCTTCAATATATCTACTATTAGGAGTTTTACAGTTGATTTTAATCTTCTTTATGGAATAATACCCTCTACTATAGGCCTCACTCTCCCTAACCTGAGGTTTCTGAGTTTGGGAAAAAATAAATTTAGTGGCAGTGTTCCGATTTCAATATCAAATGCTTCTTCACTTGAAACGATTGTGTTATCACTAAACGATTTTAGTGGGCCAATGCCAATGCTTGGAGGTCTTTCGCAACTTAAATCCTTATATGCCGCAAATATATTAATTGAAGATGATATTAGTTTCATTTCATCACTCACTAACTGCACTCAACTACGAGTTCTTGATCTATCCAGCCCATTTATTAGTGGTACAATTCCACAAAGAATCGCAAACTTCTCTGTTCACATTACTACTATAGGGATTTTTGGTACTCAAGTATGCGGAAAAATTCCATCAGGTATCGAAAACCTTGTCGGCCTCACTTTCTTGGGTCTTGCAAGAAATTCTCTCGAGGGTTCGATTCCTTCGGGCATTGGGAAACTTATTAATCTTAATATTCTCAGCTTGGAAGAAAATAGATTTACGGGGGAAATACCATCTATATTTGGAAACTTGAGCTTGTTGACTAATTTGTACATGCAAGGAAACAACTTTTCGGGGCCTATACCTCAGAGTATCGGTAACTGCTCTAAGTTGCTAGGATTATATTTTTCGCGTAATAGTCTTAGTGGCTTCATACCTCAAGAGCTTATGAATCTTTCCTCGATTTCTATTTCCTTGGACCTATCTTACAATGCATTAACGGGTTCGATTCTGGTTGAAGTTGGATCGTTGAGAAACCTAGCAAGCTTAGATTTCTCCAACAATAGATTGTCCGGACTTATTCCCAACTCAATAGGAAAGTGCGTTAGCTTGGAACAACTTCAGCTCGAGGGAAATTTATTGGAAGGACAAATACCTCGAGGACTAATTTCTTCAATGGGCTTAACAAATTTGGATCTTTCACGAAATAATTTATCCGGGACAATCCCAAGTTTTCTTGGCTTGCTACGACTCAAGCAATTGAATCTATCGTTCAATATGTTGCAAGGACGAGTGCCAACAACTGGAGTATTTGAAAATGAGACTGCAATTTCCTTACAAGGAAACAAACAACTATGTGGAGGAATTCTTCAGTTGGACCTTCCTCCTTGCACTTCATCGAAGAAGAAAAACTTGTCAACTCCACTCAAAATCACGATCCCATTAATAGCGGGAGTTGCGGCAATTCTATGCCTCGTCATTTTTCTTTACAAGAGGAGAACACCAAATAGAAATCCATCTTCTCAATCTCAACCATCATTCAATGGAATATCTTTCTTGAGGCTTTCATATTCCGATCTACTTAAAGCAACGGGTGGATTCGCTGAAACTAGCCTAGTAGGCATCGGAAGTTTTGGATCTGTTTACAAAGGTATTCTTGATGACGGGCTCACATTTTTAGCTGTGAAAGTGCTTAATCTTGTTGTGAAAGGAGCCTCTAAGAGCTTCATCGCGGAATGCAATGCACTTAGAGAGATAAGACAAAGAAATCTCGTGAAAATATGGAGTGTTTGTGAAAGCATAGACTTCCATGGAAACGAATTCAAAGCGATTGTCTACGAGTTCAAGGCTAACGGGAGTTTAGATAAATGGTTGTACTACAATTGCGAACAAGAACAAGAATCAAATCCACAACTTAGATATCTCGATTTGATTGAGAGGTTCAATATTGCCGTTGATATTGCTCAGGCACTCGAGTATCTCCATTGTGGTACCGATTTGGTAATTGTTCATGGGGATTTGAAGCCGAGTAACATTCTCTTGGAACAAGATATGACGGCTTGTGTCGGTGATTTCGGTCTATCGAAAATTATTTCAAGCCCACCGCACGAAAGCAGCAACACACTCGGGATCAAGGGTAGTTTCGGATACGTTCCACCAGGTACGACTTCATTAATTATCTTGGTTCTTCAATAAACTCTATTTTTACTCTTATCATTAAATAGCTCAAACCTACGTGTAGAATATGGCATGAGCAACTTGGTCTCGACCAAAGGGGATGTGTATAGCTACGGTATTCTTGTCTTGGAGATGTTCACGAATAAAAGACCAACTGATGATTCGTTTCAGGAACATGGTAATCTTCACAATTTCGTTAGCGCTGCTTTGCCTAATCGTGTAATGGAAATTGTGGATCCTCTCATTCTTATGGGCCCTCACATGATCGATAACAGTAAGCTCGATGATTGCGTGTCTTCTATTATGAGAATTGGAGTGACATGTTCGAAGGAATTGCCGAGAGAAAGGATGTTGATGTCTGATGTTGTTAGGGAATTGCATAAGATTCAAAAGGAATTGTCTAGCTGAAAACAAAGTTAGGAACTCTGTTTTTCTTGTGTTCGTTGTTAAATTTAAAGTTCAAATTGTACACAATTCAACCTTATTATGTTTGAAGTTCATAATTGTCTCGTTTCTGTACAGCAATATATGATTTTTTTTTTTAAGTAAATTCTAGTCCATTACACGAGGAAGTAGGAGAAGGGGGACTCAAACCCTAGACCTTTTACCCTACTGGTAAGGCTAGGTACCAACTCTCTTAATGAGGGTTGTGAAAATGCTTGATCACGATACTTAATAAATGTATTTATTAAATGAAATAAAAAAATAAAAATAATTAAATAAATAAATTACAATTATAACTATCAAATGAGCGGAAAACATTTCTTAGGTTTTTCTAGGAACAACCTTACTTTTATTAATAAGATTGGTCGAAATATCTCTAGTGTTGTAGGATTCCCATTATTAGCCTTAGATTCATAAATAATAATTTTACGAACCAAATCAATTTGCTGCAATTTACCACATTTGTTAGAATTTGACCAAAAAGTAAATTGATTTTAGTCCCTACATTATTTTTGTCACGGTTTTAGTCCTCATATAAGCCAATTTTTTTTTATAATTTTGGTCCCCGTTCGATACTGGTGTTAATGGTCTATGAGATGCTACACCTGGTGTAAAACACCAGGCAATTTTGAAACGTAGATCTATATAAATAACTACCCAATAAGCACACATACACATGAGTGTGTGTTGTTATTATTTATTGATCAATGGCTCAAGATGTATTTCACCAAGTACAGCATCTACAAAACCTGGTGTTAACTATGATGGAAAAAGGCACTCGTGGAGCATGCTGAAATAACCTCTTTAATCCCCATTTTACCTCTATTTTTTTTAAGCCACAATTTTAATTTGGGAAAAATACAGTTTTCATTCCTCAAGTTTGCTCCAATTTCACATTTGGTTCCCATGTTCACAAAAAGCACATTTGGTCCCTCATGTTTAAAAAATTCAACACTTTTTAGTCATTTCTGTCAATTTTCCGTTAAAAGTAACGGAATTGAACGTGTTCCTATCACTACCGTAACTGATGGATTAACAGCAAATTGATGAGAATGACCAAAAATGTCAAATTATTGAAGCATGAGGGACCAAATGTGTTTTTTGTGAACATGGGGACCAAATGTGAAATTGGAGCAAACTTGAGGGATGGAAACAGTAAATTTCCCATTTTAATATATTCCTACAATTTCATCCAAAACAGAACCCAATAAAATGAATATTTCTTTGAAGGTCCGGGCTTCTCCATGAGAATTTGGACTCGGGGCCAATTTGCAAATAAAAAAGGCTTGTTTGAGGACTAAAATCGTGGCAAAAATAATATAGTGGACTAAAATGAATTTCGATTCATAGTGTGAGGAACAAAATGTAATTATCCCTGATTGATCAAATGACTGGGGCAAATTGGGGCGTCAAGAACAAAAGTTGAAGAGTGTACATATCCGACCCGTCAAACTGGAAACCCGCTAATAATTTTCACAATAAATTACAAGAAACTAGTCGAAGAAACGATGATTTATGTTTTTCTATATATGAACGATAGCATGCTTACTTGAGCTTGAAAAGGAGCCCTGAAATTTCGATGGCCGGAGTCGAGATTTAAAGTTGAAGTAAATTTTTGATTGAGTTTAAATAAATAAAATAGAATTTTCTTTTTTTTCTTTTTTGATTTATTTTATATACATATATGTCATTTTGTTTGTTAAAATTCAAATATTATCCAAAAGGTATTTGTATTTTTTTTTCTTTGAGAGGAATGTATTTGTATTTAATATATTTCTTTTTGCATTTCATTTGTGAAAATTAAATGTTATTCGTTTTCTTTTTATTATATTAAATATAATTAATACTTTAAATTTTTTAATTGTTTTCCAACCCAAAACAATTTTAAATTTGAATGTTGGTCCCAAAATTGTGTTTTCCGGTTACTAGCACCAGGTTTGTGAACTTCTCGGGTTAACAATTGTGTAAAATGTTTTTCGCCCTTGTTTGCTCTTAGCGAAATAACCCCAGCCAACAGTTTCTAGTTCACGCTCGTCCCACATGGTGTGATTTAAGACTCTCGTGTAGTTTGCAAACTATTAAAACTTTCTTACTCCCTTTGATTTTCTCCTTTTTGTGAGGATCACACACGTAAAGATACTAAACATTTTATTTAGACAAGCTAACTCTTGCATGTTTTTAAACAAAAAATTACATGATATAGCAAAAAGAAAGAGAAGGGAACACAAGATCAATCAACAAATTTTGTTCTTCAACTAGCTTGATAATTCTTTTTGAATCTTACGCAATTCACTAACGACATCCGACATAGTAATCCTGTCTCTCGGCATTTCCTTTGAACACCATACTCCAATGTTGAGAATACAAGCCATGCAATCCTCAAACTTATTGTTATTCTGGCGAGGGCCTATTCGAACTAGGGGGTCCAATATTTCCATCACATGATCCGGCAACGCAGCATCAACAAAATTGTGAAGATTGACCTGATCCATGAACGAATCGTCTGTTGGTCTTTTATTTGTGAACATCTCCAATACGAGGATGCCGTAGCTATACACATCCCCCTCTGTTGAGATCGCGTTACTCGTCCCATACTCTGCACATACGTTTCGAGATATTAACGGCAAACGACACATAATTTGGTTAATATAAAAGGGCAAATTGCACATCACCTCTTGTAAATTTCTAATTTTCGGACTTTACCCCCTCAAAAATTTTAAACGTGAATGTCCCCCTTCAAAATGTTATTCTTGTTGCACATTGCCCTAATAGCAAAACTCCGATGGACTATTCATCGGAATTGAGTATTTTTGTTGCACGTTGCCTCTTTAAATGTTATTTTTGCTACACATTGCCCCTTTAAAATGTTATTTTTGTTGCACAATGCCCTACAAAATTGGCTTATAGGCAAAGTGCAACCAAAATAATATTTCGAGTCGGGAATATCCCCTTTTTGAATTTTTTAGGGGGGAAGTGCGAAAATCGAAAAGTTATAGGGGGTGAAGTGCATTTTGTCCTGATATAAAACTATGAAGATGAGATGATTAAAATCAAATATACCTGGAGGGACATAGCCGATTGTACCCTTGATCCCAGTTGTGCTGCTATTTTCACGCGGTGGAAGTACACTCGAAATAATCTTGGACAATCCGAAATCACCAACACAAGCATTCATATCTTCGTCTAAAATAATATTACTCGGCTTCAAATCTCCGTGAACAATTACCGAACCGATACCTGAATGGAGATACTCCAGTGCATGAGCAACATCGATGGTGATATCGAGCCTCTCGATCAAATCGAGATTTCTAAGTTGTGCATCGGATCCCTCTTCTTGTTCACTGTTGTAGTACAACCATTTATCCAAACTCCTGTTTGCCTTAAATTCATACACCAATGCTTTGAAATTGTTTCCTTGGAAGTCTATTCTCTCACACACACTCAATATTTTCACGAGATTCCTGTGTCGTATGCCTCTTAGAGAATTGCATTCCGCCAAGAAGCTCTTAGAGGCCCCTTTCACAACAAGATTAAGCACTTTCAGAGCTATAACCGTCACCCCATCGCCAAATACACCTTTGTAAACATATCCAAACTTCCAACACCTACTAGGCTAGTCTCGGCAAATCCGCCCGTCGCTTTAAGTAGATCGGAATAGGAAAGCCTCAAGAATTGCGTACCCATAAATGATGGTAGAGAAGACAAAACTTTTTCGTGTGTTCCTCTTTTGTATAGAAAAATGATGATGCATAACAATGCTGCAACTTCGACTATTGGGATCGCGATTTTGAGTCGGGTTGATAAGTTTTTCTTTGAGGAAGATGTAGTGCAAGGAGGAAGATCTAACTCGAGAATTCCTCCACATAATTCTTCGTTACCTTGTAGGGAAGTATGGTATTATTTCGTAACACTTCGGTTGTTGGCACTTGTCCTTGCAACATATTCAACGATAGATTCAATTGCTCGAGTCGTAGCAAGCCGATAAAACTTGGGATTGTGCCGGATAAATTATTTCGTGAAAGATCCAAATATCTTAAGCCCACGAGAGGACTTAGACCCTGCGGTATTTATCCTTCGAATAAATTACTCTCCAGGTAAAGTCGTTCCAAGCTAATGCACGTTCCTAAAGAGTTCGGAATAAGTCCAGACAATCTATTGTTGGAGAAATCTAACATAACTAGGCTCGACAAAGATCCGACTTGAGATGGAATCGAACCGGTCAATACATTGTGAGATAGATCCAATGAAATAGAAATGGTAGAAATAAGAATCTCTTTGAGGTATGGGGCCATTTAAATTGGTTCTCAAAAGATTTAACTCTAGCATGTTTGTGCATTTACCAAGGCTCTTAGGAATAGCTCCGGAAAAATTGTTTTCATACAAGTTTAATTTAATAATCGAACTCAAGTTTCCGAATAAAAACGGTATGTCACCTGTAAACCAATTTTGTGTCAAGTTGAGAATATTCACATTAAAAAGTTTATCTCAACATACAAGTAAGTTAGACCAACGAGGTTTCGATACCAGATGGAATTTTCCTTCGTAGTTGGGTATCACTAATCCTTATAGCGGCAAGGTTAACGGAAAGATTTCCGATGCTTTCTGGGATTTGACCACTAATGAATGGGCTGGAAAGATCAAAAGCACGTAGGTTTGTGCAATTCGTGAGGGATGAAACGAAACTAAAATCGTCTTGAACTAAGGTTTTTTCGGCGTATAAGGAACTAAACAGCAAAAGTCCTCCAAACATTAGCATTGGCCCAGTAAAATCGTTGAATGATAACACCAACGACTCAAGTGAAGAAGCGTTCGATATTGAAATCAGAACCCTTCCACTAAATCGATTCCTCCCCAAACTAAGAAAACTTAAATTAGGGAGAGTGAGGCCTATAGTAGAGGGTATCGGTCCATGAAGACCATTAAAATCAACTACGAATTGCTCAATAGTAGATATATTGAACAAACCTGAAGGAATGGAGCATGTGAGATTGTTGTCACCCAAATTAAGATTACTTAGCCTCGTAAGTTGGGAAATGGACTCCGGAATTTCTCCTTCCAAACCGCAAGACCTTAAATAAAGGGTTCTTAAAGATGTTACGTTTCCAATAAATCGAGGGATTACTCCTGAAATTTTGTTCTTAGCCAAGCCTAGATCTCTTAGTTTCTCCAAATACCGAATCTCCGAAGGTATGGGTCCGGAGAGGTTGTAGTCTATCAAAAATTCTATATACTCAAGTCTTCTTAAAAGGCCGATTTCTTGAGGAATTGGGCCACTGAAGCTATTGATTTGGAGATTGATTTCTCTAAGGAATGAAAGATTACATATATGAGGTGAGAGTGATCCCATCAAGCCTTGAGAGTCCGAGTTTATGCCAACAACTCTATTCGGTTGCCTGCGACCACATGTGACTATGTTCCACGTGCAAAAGTTTGTCGTTCGATTCCATGAATTAAGAGCTCCGTTTGGATCGACATCAACGGCTTCTTTCAAAGCCAACAATGAAAGTAAATGTGTTCGGTTACTTTTGAAACATGCTGCTGGACTGTATAGGGCAAGATAAAAGATGATCGAGAAGGAAAAAATATTGATGGATTTTGCAATTGTTCTTGGAATAATGATGCTTTTTCACTTAGTTTTTGTCATATATATATATATATATATATATATATATTAATTGCAGGGAAAGATATAGTTTTTATCCCTCAAGTTTGCATCGATTTCACATTTGGTCCCTCATGTTCACACAAAACACATTCAGTCCCTCATGTTTCAAAAATGCAACGTTTTTAGTCATTTTCGTCAATTTTCCGTTAAAAGTAACATATTCAAACGTGTGCCCATCGTTGCCTTAACTGACGGACTAGCAGTAAATTGATAGAGAGGACCAAAACTGTTAGATTATTGAAACATTAGGGATCAAATGTGTTTTTTGTGAACATGGGGACCAAATATGAAATCACTGCAAACATGAGGGGTGAAAACTATAATTTTCCCATTAATTGCATAGTATGATAGTAGTGAATGGCATGCACAGTGTATATGAATTTCCATGTCAACGCATTAATAAGTGTTTTGATATTTCTCCCAAGTTTTCCAAGTCAGACGACACATCTTCAGGCCCGGTTCTGAGGGAAGACCAGAAAGGCGGTCGCCTCGGGCCCCCGATTTTTTATGAATTTTAGGGGCCCCCGATTTTAGAAAAATAGTCCTTATACATTAGTATTTATTGATATTATATATATATATATATATATATATATATATATATATATATATATATATATAAAAGAGAAATAAAAGAAGAACTATAATGAAGGTTCGTCAAGTGTTTGTCTTCGATTCTCCGTTATCTCGTTCTTTCTTGTTCTGAGATGGCGTCTAGATTTTCGTAATTGAGGTTATCTTATATAGGTGTAATTAATAATTGGTTATATAGGAGCTTCCTTGTGCAATTAAAATTCCTATAATGCACAGTCGAAGAACTTCGGACAGTCGTTCGAAATTTAGTTCATTTTCTCAGACAGCCGTATCAACCTTCTATTAGATTTTTTTTCCTTTCGGGACGGCCGTCGGAGAATCAGCCGAAATCTCCAGATGACCGTCTCAGTTCTATTTTGGTATGTGGTTGGTTGTCGTCCCTTCTCGCCTGTTCTCTATCGTTCCATCATCTAGACTCTCAATTCTTCAATTTGTACCTAAAATACAATAACCAAGTCATTAAGCATTATTCAATCAATAAAATTCCATAAAAATCCTCATAAGAAAATATAAATTTAGTGTAAAACTTACATTCAACACCTCTAAAAAAAACGGCGATGCCCCCGTACCCCCAAAATTTTTAACCTAGTATGTTATATTACTTCGAGAAAAAAAAAAAAAGACAATGTTACCCTTGCTAGGGGGCCCCCGTTTCCAAGATCTACATAGCTCGCCTTGGGCCCTCGAATTCCTAGGAACGGGCCTGCACATCTTAATCAAGAAATTGGACCTTCGCATAAATTATTAGAGAGCTAAAAAATAATTCATCAATAATAAGCAAAGAAAGTGGAATCAATAATTTAACAATTAAAAAAAAAACATAAAACTACAAATATTATTTTTAAACAAAATAAACTATGTATATCTCACGGCAAAACGCACTCTATACCTCTCTCTTGTGATATTTTAACAAAAGGGTCAATATATCGCGATATTTTATCATTTAAAAATATTCTTTCTTGGTTATGTTTTTTTACTTTATATTTTTAAATTATCATTTCATTATATCACTTGGTTTTTCGTGTCAAAATCGAATTGATATATGAAATTAATATTTTTTTTAGGGGCTTCAAGATATAGGTCCCTGTTGAGAAAATATATTAGAACTAAATGACAAGTCTAACTAAACATTAGCTTCACATCCTTCATAAATTTTATTCCAATAATGCCCCCACATACCAAAAATGAAATATGCACCAAGTAATATTTAAACTGTATTTATCATTTTTTTCATTATGCATTTAACATTTTTATTTTCGCATCTAACATTTTTTTTTATTATTTTTTTTCTCGAAGAATTTTTTTTTTTTTTGCATTTTCGTATTTTTTCCTTTTTTTCTACATAATATTGAAAATTATGATTTTTTAATTTTTTTGGTCATAGTCTTCTATAGAAACCCGTAGGAAACCGTAGTAGTCTGTAGTCATGTATAGACACTCGTAGGAAACTGTAGTAATCTGTAGTGACATATTCTTAAAACCCTAATTCCTCTTTGAACCCTAGCCGCCAGATACCATAGACACCCATAGATACTCATAGAAATCTATGTTGTTCCCGATACATAAAACGGGTAGTGAATTTAGTAAATTGGTTGAACAAATTAATTAGTGAAAATACAAAAAGATTATCTGCAATGAACGTAAATTTGCCGAGGCGAGTTGACTCTGTCCTTAAGACGAAATTTCCCCGCAACGGTGCTAACGGATTAAATGGAAATCGTCTCCCAAGATACAACGGCAAGGCTTGGAATAGGAGCACTCCAAATCCCAAGTACGACGAACTGTACTTTGTGTAGAAATTTTCGAGAGAATCTGTGAAGGGTAGGCTTAATATGCAGTAGGCTTATTTTTTGGATTGAAGTGAGGAATTGTGGGAAAGTTAGGGTCTATTTATAAGGTTCGAAAAGTAGTGTCCTTTGGAGCAAAAAGGTACATTTGTTTGAATGGTTGCACCATTTCAAAGGTACCCTTTGTTTGAATGGTTGCACCATTTCAAGTTGAGCCAATTGGGAGTGGTTGCACCATTTCGAGTTGAGCCGAATGGTTTGCATTGGTTCGGCCGCACCAATTCAGACCAGTCAGATCAATCGAGATGGGCTTCGAGTAATAAGGTCCCAATGGGTTAAAAGCCCATGACCTAATGTTTTTGATGTTGGGGATCGTGCATGTATACGCAGCGGAATTTAAAAATTTTATATCGAACTAGTTTCGATTACATGCATAAACTAATCACATAGTCAACGTACCTTAACGCTTCCGCCATACATATGGTAATTATCGATTTAATTGAAAAATACATAAAACCGAAAATCACGAAACATGCTTATACTTCATTTCACAAAATCGAAACATGTAATCACGTATTACTCATGCTCGCAAATTAATAATCATACAAACATGTTTGAATTAATTTACGAAAGTTTCGATTCATTTACCTCTTGTAGCGTGCGATTTCGACGAATCGAAATCCTAGAACGAGTCACGTACAAGCTGCTATATACCACTCCTAGGGGCTGCAGGAACACCACCAAACGGCAGCTGGACCGAAGGTGTGGCGACGGCGGCGCGTGCGTGACGACGGCGGCGGCGCGTGGGCGATGCAGCGGCGCGTGCGGCGGTGCAGCGGCGGTGCGGCGATTCCGTCGGGGCAGCAGCTCCTCTCCAATTAGGTTTCACCTCGAATAAATGGATCTCCCCCTACTGTAGCACTAGATACAAAGGGGTTAGATAACAAAGGGAATACGATATAGAGAAAGGAGAGGAAAAACCGGCGGATTCCGGCGGTGGCGCGGCGGAGATGCAGCGGCCGAGAGGGGGGGGGGGCTGAGCGGCTAGGGTTTTGGTGCTGAAAAATCTCATCTCAAAACTCCTTTTGAGGTCTATTTATACTTAGGGTTTTAAACCCTAGTGGGCTTAAGTCATTGGGCTTGACCCACTGATGCATTAAGCCTATTCCCTCGTCGGCCTCGTTTCTAATAAACGATCGTCCACAAAATTATAACAAAATTATATTTGTGACGAGCTCAAAGTCCTCGTCGATACGAGTGCCTCTTCGAAATTTCCAATTTCCAAAATTGGAAACTTCCACTTCAGTGGACCTGCTAAATTGGGAAACTTCTCAATTTAGAAAGTTCACTAATTTCCGCATGTCTCTCTTTCTCTACGTTTATTCCGATTCGCAATCCACAATTACGAATCTTGGATTCAATCATATTGAGATCCAATCGTTCAATGATTAACACATTAATCTATGCTTGTTGTTATCAAGGATCTATATTACACGAGAAGTGTGACCCTCAATGGTTCAGGTGTATGCTAGCCGTGGGCTCACAACTCTTTGTGATTCGAACAACACATTGTTCTTATACGAACTCCTCCCAAGAGTCCCGATTAGAGTAAAACTCATTTTACCTAATCCCCGATCAAATCGGTGCCCAACGAATCAAGATTGGCGTCTAGCAACTACGCATCATGATTCCCTAGATACAAATGAAGTGCCTGCAAGAACCTTATGATATAGTTAGCGTACAGTACGATCCTTTCGCAGCACATGTCCCGATTGAACTAGAGTCATTGGTTCACCGAGACCTCTTATAAAGTTCAATAACCGTGCGAACGTTCTAGGTATTATAAATCCGTTCGTGTGCGACTTAGGGAAACACATTTCCCTAATCACCCCACTATCAACACTGGCCAGAGATTCCATGGATTATAAACCGTCAGAACACACAGGACATCCATGACTACTCAAGCGCTCGAATCCCCTACTACAATGCACAGACTTCACACTAGATTTCGGATTGCACGAACGTTGGCCCTTGGAGCGGTCCGCGGTGGGACTCAGGGACAGGTCACGATACAATCGGTCCTCTAGTGAAGTCACGGTGATGTCTGGGTCTTAAGGACTAATGGTGTACAACTATATCTTAGAAACCTATTACTCGATGAATGAGAACCACTTATAGATTTCTAGGGCGAGGGAGTTCAGTGAACTCATCCAGTATGAGCACCCACTCAAGTATGCCGATGTCACAACACCGAGGACTGATGAGACGCAGTACACATACACTAAGTGCTAGTCTCAAAAG